CTTCCCCTACCGCACTCCGTCCCTCCCCCCACCCCCGCTCTTCTTGGTACCAGGTCCCCCCCCAGTAGTCCCCCTCCCCCCTCAGGGTCCTGCCCCTTCAGGTGTGTCTCAGGTAGACGCGGTCGAGCCTGTCGAGGTCACTGGTGACTCCGGTGCTGCTGCGGGAGCTGAGCCTGGGGGTGCGGAGTCTAGGGGTGCTGAGCCTGGGGGTGCTGAGCCTGGGGGTGCGGAGTCTGGGGGTGCTGGGCCTGGGGGTGCTGAGCCTGGGGGTGCTGTGCCTGGGGGTGCTGAGCCTGGGGGTGCTGTGCCTGGGGGTGCTGTGTCTGGGGGTACTGAGCCTGGGGGTGCTGAGCCTGGGGGTGCTGAGCCTGGAGGTGCCGAGCCTGGAGGTGCTGTGCCTGGGGGTGCTTCGTCTCGCCGGGAGCCGCTCTCTCCACAGGAGCTGCGTGAGTGGTTTGCCCGGCGCTGGAGGCGTGCCGCTGGTGCTGGTGGTTCTTCGGCTGCGGAGGGCGCTGCTGCCACGCGACCTGGCGGTGCTCGTCCTGTGGGTGCTGGAGCTGCTGGGTCTGAGGGTTCTCCTGGAGCTGGTCCTGCTGAGGACGTTGGCGCTGAGCCTGCGGTTGGTGGTCCGACTGACGGTGCTCCTGGTGCTGCTGCTGGAGGTTCTGGAGCTTCTGGTGGTTCTGCTGGAGGTGCTGCTGGAGTGGGTGCTCCGGCCGGAGCTGCTGGTTCTGTTCCTGCTGTTTCTGGCGTCGCCGCGCGGTCTCGACCGTACTTCGTTCCGCTCCTGGAGCAGGTTCTTGGTCTTGCTCCTCCTCCTCCTCCCTTAGAGGGTCCGCAGCCTGTCCGGTCACAGCCACAGCTAGAGCCTGCCTCCCCTTTGCCTGCTCCTTCTCCCTACGCTGGTCCGACTGGAGGCCTTACTGAGCGTCGTGAGCCTGCGTCTCGTCCTGCGTCGCCTGTTCGTACTGAGCGCGCTAGTGGTCGCGGGTCGCGTCAGCGTCCTCCTCCTGTCCCTGGGACGCACCGGATGTCACTACGTCCGTCCACTGCTCCTCTGCGTGCCCCTTTGCCTTCTCCTCCTGCTTCCTCTCTTCCTGCTCTTGCCGACCCGGAGTCGGACTCTCTTCGTGCTGCCAGTCCTACTGTCACGCGTCTCCTTGCTACTGCTGTCACTGACCCTTCCTTCGAGTCGTCTGCTGCGTCTGCCCTTGTCACTGAGCTTGTCGACTTTGCTGCGCGCTGTCGTCTAGACTACGCTGCTCGTCTTGTCGCTGAGTCTGAGTCCGCCTGTCCTCCGTCCGTCGGGGGTGAGTGTGCCCTTGGCACGGACGTCCTAGAGGACAGGCAGGAGGAGTTCCAGTGTCTAGCCGCTGCTTCACCTCGTCTCGCGTCTGTACTGCTAGCCCCTGAGGGAGACCCGGATGCACTAGACATCCCGACTCCGCGTTCTTACGCGGAGGCCGTAGAGGGTCCCTACTCCTCTCAGTGGCAGGCAGCTATGGATGCAGAGATGGCTTCCTGGAAGTCCACAGGCACCTACGTTGACGCGGTTCCCCCTCCTGGGGCGAACATCGTCAGTGGCATGTGGATCTTCAGGGTGAAGCGGCCGCCGGGCTCGCCGCCTGTCTTCAAGGCGCGTTACGTGGCTCGTGGCTTCAGTCAGCGGCAGGGAGTTGACTACTTTCAGACCTTCTCTCCCACCCCGAAGATGACCACTCTTCGGGTGCTGCTGCACATTGCCGCTCAGCGCGACTACGAGCTTCACTCTCTCGACTTCAGCACTGCGTTCCTGCAGGGTAGCCTGCACGAGGAGATCTGGCTGCGCCGTCCGCCTGGCTTCACTGGGACTTTCCCTCCTGGCACCCAGTGGAGCCTCCGACGGCCAGTCTACGGTCTCCGCCAGGCACCGCGTGAGTGGCACGACACACTGAGGACTACGCTTGCGGCTCTTGGGTTTGCTCCTTCTACTGCTGACCCGTCGCTGTTTCTTCGCACCGACACTTCCCTGCCGCCGTTCTACATCCTCGTGTACGTCGACGACTTGGTCTTTGCCACAGCGGACACTGCTGGACTCGCCTACGTGAAGTCCGAGCTGCTGAAGAGACACACGTGCACAGACCTGGGTGAACTGCGCAGCTACCTTGGCTTGCAGATCACTCGGGACAGAGCACGCCGCACCATTACCCTGACTCAGTCACACATGGTGCAGCAGGTCCTTCAGCGCTTCGGCTTCACGTACTCCTCGCCTCAGGCCACTCCTCTGCCTACTCGCCACTCACTCTCAGCTCTGCCTTCGGATGAGTCCGTAGAGTCGAGTGGTCCGTATGCAGAGCTTGTTGGCTGCCTCATGTACATGATGACCTGCACACGACCTGACCTTGCATACCCTCTGAGCATCCTTGCACGCTATGTTGCTCCTGGGAGACACCGACCAGAGCACATGGCTGCAGCGAAGAGGGTATTGCGCTACCTGTGCAGTACGTCGGGCATGGGGCTAGTGCTTGGAGGGCGTAGTCCAGTGGTCCTTACTGGGCACGCAGACGCTTCTTGGGCTGACGACCAGGCTACGCAGCGGTCGTCACAGGGTTACACCTTCAGCCTTGGTTCCGGCTCTGTCTCGTGGCGGTCTACTCGCTCGTCTTCGGTTCTCGGCTCCAGTTGTGAGGCTGAGATCTACGCCGGGGCCATGGCTGCACAGGAGCTTCGCTGGCTCACCTACCTGCTGACTGACCTTGGAGAGCTGCCTCGTTCTCCTCCAGTGCTGTACGTAGACAACAAGGCCATGTTGGCCTTGTGTCGAGAGCAGCGCTTGGAGCACAGAACGAAGCACATTGCTCTCCGCTACTTCCTTGCTCGTGAGCTGCAGCAGCGTGGTCAGTTGCGACTTGCTTACGTGGCCTCTGAGGCCAACACTGCTGATGTGTTCACCAAGGCACTTGCGCCTTGCGACCATCAGCGCTTTTGTACCCAGCTGGGTCTTGTACCTGTCTTGCCTCACTTGCTCTCTTCTTGACTTTACTTGTACTTTGACATATATATACCTGCTCTTGCTTGTCTAGTTTTATATATGTCTGTACTCCTGCATGTGAACTGGCCTCTGGCCTTGCTCTTGTGCTCGGACTGTGTGGTGACTTTGTGATCCACCCTGAGCTTGCTTTGCTTTGCTTGACTGGTCTTGTGACCCCTTGTTCTCCCCCACTTTGCCTATGGGGGTGTGTCAGATTATTATAGCTGATGCATGTTTGTAGGCTATAGTGGGGTAGCACATATGGGGTACAGTTTGCTAGGGTTGTATTTGTACCCAACTCTGACTTAGTCAATTCATTCCTGTTCAGTTAGTTTCACAGACCCGCATCCAGTGCAGGGTCCGAATGTGAAGGGAACCGAATCTGCAACATATCCGCCTGCTAAAGCAAAAATCGTTACAGCTTTTTGAACACATTTCAAATTTTAAAGTTTACGTGCGCTTATAATAAAACAAGTTTTTTCAAGGGGTGCGCTTATAATCGAGGAGGGGATATAAGCGCCATATGCCAATTAGAAGCGCCAGGCGCTTATCCTAGGGTGGCGCTTATATCCGGGGGGAGACGGTAGTTGGCGTCGAAGAAGACATTCATTGTGAACAACCACGCCTGGACGGTAGGACCACCCCGTTGACTCGGGTCAAAGCATGGCGGGCGCTGCGGCTTCAGTGGCATCGGTGACGGCAGTCCCGAATCGTGGGTTGGTGCCGAAATCGTGACGCGAGGCTGGCTTGGGGCCGCAGGCGTCGCTCTGGGGTGTGTCGTGCCGTGGTCGTCGTCTCCGTCGGGGCGGACGACGCCATCACTGGCCGCGCTCGCGGGTTGCCCCACACTCCCGTGTTGTGATGTTGAGGGTGCGGGTTGAATCGGAGTGCCAGGTGCTTGAGATTGTGCTCTCATGAGGTCATTTTGCAGTGATGAGCGTTCTGCCGTCAATGCCGCGATTTCCTCGGAGCTTTCGTGCAGTTGTCGCAGCAGATCGTTCAAACGCTCCTGCGTGAGAGTGGTGACGTCGATATTTTCGGCCATGACGAAGGGCGTCGGCTCGTCTTAGTCTAGGCGCAGTCGTGGCTGCACGCGTTTACGAGAGAACGCGAGGACAGCGGCTCCTAGGGGCTAAGGTGCGTGAGTCCCTTCGAGTGAAAAATCAAAAGTTGATTTCCTGGTGTGCGGAGATGCGCGGTCCGAAAGAAAGGGGCTCTGATAACCAAGTGTTACGGGTGCAATGAATCGAAGTAGCGAGAATTGCACTAAGGTGTCAAACGAGTACAAAATGTGAGCGAAGGCATGAGCGAACATTTATACGCGAAACATGCAAAACGGTAACGCGGTGCGTGCGAGCTTGCTAGTGCTACGCTGGAGCGAGGCTCGGGCTAGTCCCGAAGCGTAGGCCGATACGGCCATGCCAGCAGTGCGAGGTTTGGCAAAACAGTGCGCGCGAAGTCGGCGAAGTTCCGTTAGCAGTAACGGGCGAACAATCGGCTGTTGCTGTACGCGATGTAGTCGGCCCCGTAAGGAATGCCGAGAAAATTCCTTACATTCAGACATTCTGTAATTCTCATTCTCGATATTCGATATACTGCGCACTCTGCAAGTTCATTCATAACAATATTTTACCTGAGATCCCATTCTCTAGTGATCAGCGCTAGCTAGAAACTAGTTTTCCAAGCGCGCCGCCGAGCTATGCGGAGTATTAATTCGAACTCCTTTTCGCGCCACCTACATAACCCAATCAGACTTGAACCATCGCCCTCTCTACAGACAAACCATCATAACACGGCGACACTAGCGTGTCCTACAGTCTCGCGAGGATTGACGCGTTCCCCAACCCAGCCACATCCATTCCCGCTGGTGCAACCGCCTTCCGCATCTCCTGCCCGTTCCCCCCTTCCCTCTGCCCGTCTCGTCGTTTGCGCATCTTCCCGTTGCGGAAGATCCCGACCAGCGCCGCGCGGGTTTTCCGCGCGCGAGGCGATGCGCGGAGGGGTGGACTCGGAGGGGCGGCAGTATGCGTCGGCAGACGAAATGTGGCGGCAGGAGGCGGGGGAGCGCGCAGTGAGCGCGGGGGAAGGGAAAAGCGAGGAGGGCGCAATGGAGGCGGAAATGGGTGGGAAGAAGCGCGAATGGTACGACAAGGGCGTCAAGTACTGGGAGGTGCGCGCTGCCTCTCCCCCTCCCTCTCCTCTCTCCCCTCTCCCTCATTTCTCGCAACTGCATTTTCCTCTTGCCTCCCACCCCTGCGCCGTGTATCTCAAGGGCGTGAAGGCTGGACGGCGTTTTGGGGGGCTACGGCGCGTCTTGAGGCGCCTTTCCCCCGTTTTCCCCCTCCCTTTCCCCCGCTCCCTCTCCCCTTCGTGCATCCCAAGGGCGTGGAGGCGAGTGTGGACGGCGTGTTGGGGGGATACGGCGCAGTGAGCTCAACAGACGCGGCGGGCAGCGCGGCCTTCCTGCACGAGGTCTACGGCGCACAGCTCGACGCTGCCCGCTCACAGGGCCGCCCGCTTGTTGCTCTGGGTGCGTGCCGTGAGAGGGGAGGGGATGGGGAGGAGAGGGGGAGTAAGTCACAGGCTCGGGCATAAGTCACAGGCTCGGACATGGGGTCACTAATTTGAATCCACTCTCCATCTGCCCTGCGCCATGCATCACAACTTGAGGCCCTTCCTGTTGCATGCTGCACCATCCCCCGTTCCCTTCCTCTGCCTTCCCTTCACCGCCCCACCATCCCTCGTGGCAGACTGTGGGGCGGGCATAGGGCGAGTGACCAAGGAGTTTCTACTGCACGTATTCAACGAGGTGGGTGGGGTGAGGTGTGCTGTGCTGTTCGTGCACATCACACTGCACTGCATTACAGTGTGCCTGCATTACAGTGTGCCTGCATGACACTGTTAGGACCATCGCGTGACCAAGCAGTTCCTACTGCACGTCTTCGCCGAGGTGGGTGGGTTGAGGTGTGCGTACACATTTCACCACATTGCATTCCAGTGTGCCTGCATGACTCTGTGACTGCACCTTATGGACCATCGCAAGTTCGCGGTCAGTTGATCTGATTTCCCTTCTGTGCCTGCACTCGCAGGTGGATCTAGTGGAGCCGGTACGGCACTTCATAGATGCCGCCCGAGACCACCTCGCCTCGCCGCCCTCCTCTGCCGCCTCGCCTGCCGCCTCTCACCGCGCCGTCAACTTCTTCTGCTGCCCACTCCAGGTTCTGCCTTCCCAGGTGCTGCCTTCCCAGGTGCTGCCTTCCCAGGTGCTGCCTTCCCAGGTGCTGCCTTCCCAGGTACTGCCTTCCCAGGTGCTGCCTTCCCAGGTACTGCCTTTCCAAAGTAAATCCGCCTTTCTGCGTGTTACTTAACATGCATTGTCACTTCCGTCCCCCTCCCAGCATCAGCAGCAGCATAAGCATCAACATCAGCATCAGCATCAGCATCAGCATCAGCATCAGCATCAGCGCATCAGCATCAGCATCAGCATCAGAGCATCAGCATCAGCGCATCAGCATCAGCATCAGCGCATCAGCATCAGCATCAGCGCATCAGCATCAGCATCAGCGCATCAGCATCAGCATCAGCGCATCAGCATCAGCATCAGCGCATCAGCATCAGCATCAGCGCATCAGCACGCCCTTTGCCTAATTTTTTCGCACTCCTCTCTTCTCAACCCTGCTGAGCGTTCTCTCCCCTTGTGCACCCCTCACACGCGTCCCTGCACCGTTGCTGCACGTCCCTCCCTGCCGTGCGTGTTGGGCAGGAGTTCAGTCCAGATGCAGAGCGGTACGATGTGGTGTGGGTGCAGTGGTGCATCGGCCACCTCACTGACGCTGACCTCATCGCCTTCCTCCATCGCTGCCTCGTGCGTGCTCGATAAACACTTGAGGCTTGCTTTCTTGCATTGAATCTGTAACCTGGAAGAGTGGTGCTGTTTTTGCTGCTGTTTCCATTCCACCATTCCACCACTCCCCACGTCACCTGCAACTCCTTCCTTCTCCGTCCCTCTCTCTGCGCGTACCCTGCCCCTGCCTCTCTTGCAGGCAGGGCTGCGGCCGGGCGGCATTATAGTGCTCAAGGAGAACACATGCCAGAAAGGTGACTCTGAGTGGTCCAAAAAATCTTGGTGGTGGGGGAGAGCACGTGTCCCAAAGGGCACCCCAGTTCCCTCGTCCTTCCACCCTACGCCGAGTCATGGCACCCCATTCGTGCAATACCTGACTCGGGGGTTGTAGCTGTTGTGGGGTGTGTTTTCATCTGTCATGATTAAGCCTGGCATCATTGTTCTCGTGTGGGTGGGCGTTGGGACTGTATGGGTGTGTGTGTTGGGGGATGGGTGGGTGCGTTTGGACTGTATGTCTGCATGTATGCATGGGTGTATGGACTTATGCATGTCTGCATGGGCACATGCATGTGCATGTGTGCATGTGTGCATGGGCACATGCATGCAGGGTTCGTATTGGACAAGGCGGACAGCAGTGTGACGCGCAGCGATGCATACTTCAGAGACCTCTTCAAGCAGGCCAACCTGCAGCTCCTCAAATCCAAGGTACTTCAATCCAAGGTACCGTACTTAAATCTGAGGTACCCAACTCCAAGGTGTTACGTCTGACGTCTCTTAATCCAAAGCAAGGTTCAGAACCCCGAGGTACCCATGTGTCAGAAGGAACTGCCACCACATGTGCGTCTGCTGATTTGGTCCCCCCTTCCATCAGCGCACACACCTTCATCCCCACCAGCCCTACCTCTGCTGTCCTCTGCTCTGCTCATCCCAGGTGCAGCGCGGGTTCCCCTCGGAGCTGTTTGTGGTGAAGATGTACGCGCTGGCAGCACACCCCACCGCACACGGGGGAGTGGCGGGGCGCACACGGCAGCGCAGCAAGAGACCCAATCAGCCGGCTGTCATCTACTGACAAATTGACAATGAGATACCGACCGCTTTTGGTGCCTGCTTGCCTGCCTATCTGCCTGGCTGGTGCTGCTTGCTGTTCCATTGTCTAGTGCTCGCGGGTGCAGCAGCTCTGCTATGCATCCCATGCATGAGAGCGTGTGTGAATTGTACCGGTATATGCTGCTTGCTGCAGCCGTCTGTCAGATGGAACTGTGCTCGTGATGAAGAACTCTACCTTGAAAAGTGTACGCGTCTTGCTCATAGAATCACTGGTGAGACACAACGTTCACTGTTATACGAAACATGATTCGCATGGGAATCCAGGGTGCCACAGGGACATCATCAAGAGTTAGCCTCACATCACACCGCACCATCAGTGCGCCATGCCATCACTGCCCCATCGCCGTGTCATCTCTGCATCCATGCAGGCTTTTTGAACTCGATGCTCATCTTGCTGAACGTGCTCTTGAGCACATGGTGTGCATGGGCAATGTTCTGTGCATGCACGCTCTCCCTCACTGCCGGCTCGTTCAACGGCAGCCAAAAGCTCCCGTCCTGCTCTTGCTCCTCCGCACCACCCCCACTGCCATTCCGCTCCTCCCTCTCTTGCTCTGGCATCTCTCCTGCTGCTGCAGCTGCTGTGACAGCAGCATCTGAGCTACCTGGAGCCGCCCCCCCTACAGTCACACTGTAGCCCTCGTCCGCCCTACCCCCGTTCTCAGCCTCTGACAGCACTGCTCCAGCCTCCTGGCCTCCCAGGCTCGCTGCACCAGCACTATCTGACAGCAACCCTGCCTCTGCTCCCACCTGCCCAATTTCTGCCTGCCCCTCTGCTGCTGCCCGCGCACCACCCTCACTTTCTCCTGCTTCTCCTTCTCCTTCTCCTTCTAATGCTCCTTCTCCTGCTTCAGCACCTGCTGCTGCGTCTACATCTGTCGGCACATCAGCATCATCATCTGCTGCCAGCACCACCGGGTCCCTGCGTCGGGGGCTGGCAATAACAGACGCAGGGATACCCCAGAAGGCCTGCGCTCGGGCGTCATCGGCGCGCATGGCTTGGCTGTACACGGGCAGCTCAAACGCCCACGTGGAGCGGCCGCCAAAGCCCTGGTCGAGATGCTCCAGGTCGAAGATCTCTTCTAGCTGGGCGATGGTGGCGGGCTTGTTGGGGTACACGAATAGGATCTTCTTGAACGTGGTGGGGTCCACGAAGGGCCGGATCATCTGAGTGATGGGGAGGGGGTGTGCAAGAGGAGAGCATTCAGGGGTGAGGGTGGGAGCATGGGAGCATCTGAGCAGATGGGTCGGGGCATGTGAGGTGCATGCAAGCATGGAGCAATCAAGGCGTGCAACACAAGAGTCAAAACGATTCCCAGCCCCAAAAACTAGAAAACTATCCCAACTCGCACACCCCCCCAACTCACACGCCCCTCGGGCCCACCTTCCAGAACGTCTCAAAGACGGGCGGCGGGTCGTACACCACAGCCTGGCCCAGCCGCTCGGGGTAGTGGTTCTGCAGAATGGACAGCACCTCGCGCGACGTCTTGAGCGGCGGCGCCTTGCGCAGCGTCCAGCCGCGGAAGTCAATGAACCACACCATGCGGCTGTGCGCCGTGCCGGCCGGCAGGTGGTTGATGGCGTTCTCCAGCGCGTACACCAGGTGCCGCACCTGCCCCGCATGCCCCGCCGTGTTCTGCGCTCAAAGGGCGAAAGTGGATTGGGGGGAGCGGCATTGGATCGATCAAAAGCACCTTTCCTGTGAGTCGAATCCGTTGAGATAGGCTGCCACCTCGGAATAAGCAGTACGCCTGAACGTCGCTGTAGGGAGCGTGAATGAGCGGGACAAAGTGTGCGACCAGGCTGATCTGAAACTGGAAAGGCTGTCGTCACGGATGAGATGTGCGGGCAGATAGGCTCACCTGGCGACCGGCGGACATGACAATGACGGCGCGGCCCTGCTTGTCCAGGAATTCCGTGCGGTACACCTTGCCTGTCGCCGCCTCTTCCGCCACGTCCTCCTGAACCAACCAAGCCGCACATCCCCATAGACCAGGATGAATTGAACATTTATAATTAGAAAAAGTTGACGAATTTGCGCGAGGGGCTGTCCTGGATTCAGGAAGCGTCTAAGGGGTAAGCGCGGCCGTACCCACGTGATCTCTTCTGGTCGGTACACGTGTCGCCAGCGGAGCGTGTCGCGGAGCATCTTCTCCGCCTTGGCCACATTCCAGCCGCGCGCGCGCAGGTAGCGCCGCAGGCACGCGTCCGTGCAGAACAGCTTCGCGCGCCCGGCCAGCGGACCAATAGCTTCCCGCAACGCCTTCACCTGATCGAATTTTAGAAGAAAACATGGTCGGGATTAGGATATCGGAACCCTCCAGGATCAACTACGTCGTTAATCTCAAAATTCGGCTAGACCTATCGAGGTTGGAACGAGCAGCAGGGACCTGGTCCTGGCCGTAACGAGCCGTTACCTTGGCCTCCTGCTCCTCGGGAGTGTCGACCGGCTTCTCCGGCGTGAGCAGGTTGGGGCTGCTCACGGCGGCTCGGAACGACGCGAACTTCTCCTGGCTGAACGCCTCTAGCTTGTCCGCGAACGTCGTTGGCGCCGGCTTATCTGCTTTCTCTGATACGCCTGTTTTCTGGTCAGATTGATCGGCTTGTGATGTCATCATGACTCTGTCGGGTACTGAGTCAGGCAGAAGGCATCTACTGATCACCAGAAGCTATCGTGCAATTCTTAGGGCTCAGGTTGACTTACTAAAAGCTATTCAGAAAGATACTATCGGTCAGCTATGGAATCAGCATAATCCGATAGGAGTAGAACCATTGGTGGAATCAGTGGTTCTAGCCTAGATTCCTCACGGTCGCCTTGTGTCGTCGCTTCAGTCGCCCAAGCTATGACACAAACACCTTCCAGGGTCGTCGCTGAAGCCGTACACAGTCGCTTGGCAGGGTGCTTGACTTGTGCGACGGGTTGGGTTGGAGAGTCAACGATTTGAACTTGAAACGCCCACAATCACGTCTCAAGGTGGTGCGAATCCAACGTTGACCAATCAGGCGCCTAGGAAAACAATAGCACATACATCCAGTATTTGCATTGCACAAATAGCGAGTGCTTGCATACCAAGGCTGTAAGGATTTACAAATCCTTACTGAGGCACTCGTTAGCGAGGTTATCCCGAGGGTCACGCGACGAACCTGTCCTTCCTATTTTGTCGCACCGAACCACTTCCGATTCGGCATCCGCTCCAAACGCAACCATCACCGAGCCATCCTCGCCCAACCTCTCCGCCTAGCTAGGACTTCCCCTATTTAGTCGTGCCTTTCTCATTGTATCGTCATTCAGTAATTCAGTAATCAGTCATTCTCGTTATTCGTTTTACTGCGCACTCTGCAAGTTCATTCATAACAAAGGCACACCTCAGCCTGGAAACTGCCATACCAACTGACACTGCCGTTGCAGATCGAACAAATGCGCCATAAATATTCACTGGTGGTTTCGCTCCCACAATCACTATGACTCCCGCCAAGTGCGGCCATAGATTTTTATTGATTGCCATCACCCGTTGACCATGTCGGACTCTCTTCCTATCGATTCTGTCCCAGCCGCACCCTCCGCTGCTTCCCCCACCGACTTGCATCATCGCACGCGGTTAGGGACTCAATATAATGATGCATGCCCTTCCGTCAACTCACGTGTTGCAAGGGGGGCCGTCGAAACCCGCGCAGATTCCGGCATCAGCAGCGGCGGCAGCAGCGGCGGCAGCAGCGGCGGCGGCGGCGGCGGCGGCGCAGCATGGACGCCGTTCCGGCGGGACCTGGTGGTGCTGGGCGCGGCGTTCCTCGCGCTCTTCGCGGCGTACAGCGCCATTCAGAACCTCGAGACGTCGTTGCACCCGCGCGCCGGCATGGGCGCCGTGTCCCTCGCCGTGATATACGGCGGCATCGTCGTGTTCGCGCCGCTCGCGCCCGCCGTGATCCGTTACTTGCGGCCGCGAGGCGCCATGCTGGTGGGCATGTCGGGGTACTGCGCGTACATCGTCGCCAACGCCGTCGACTCCAGGTACCGCCATCGCCCAGGTCGCGCTCGCGAGGCAGAAATCGCCCACGAGGAATCTTCAAGAGCCTCCGCAGCATCTCATGTTCCTGGTTCCTCGACCCGCGCCTCGTGCGGGGTGCAAGAGGATGCGCTGACTTGCATCCTCCGTGTGACGTGGCCTTTCTTGCATCTCCTTACCCCAACCCTCTCCGCCCTTCCCCCTCCCTTGCCCCCCTCCCGTTCCCCCCGCATCCCCGTCAGCGCGCAGCTGGGTGCTGCTGCTGTCCGCGGGGTACTTGGGCGCGAGCGCGTCCGTGCTGTGGGTGGCGCAGGGGCTGTACAGCGTCATGCTCGCGCGCGGACACGCCGCCGCCGCGGGCGTGGTGGAGCAAGCAGCAATCGCGGAGTTCAGCGGAATCTTCTGGGGGATCTTCGCGGCAAACCAGGTGGTGGGGAACGCCGTCACCTTCCTCGTCTGCCAGCTCATGGCGCTCCTCTTCCCCCCCGCGCCCTCTTCGCTTGCAACTCCCGTTGCGCCTTCTCCTGAGAGTCTACCTCCCGCTACAGTCACGGTGTTAATAGTTACGTTCCTGCTGTTCCTCGCGCTGGCCGCCGCGCTCACGTGGCGTCTGACTGACCTGTCAGAGGACCACCCCCTCTGCTGCTCCGCGCCCGCTCCCCCCGTGGATGGTCCAGAGGTGGGGGTAGGGAGATGTGGCATTACCGGGGAAGACGAGGAGGAGGGGAGTGAGAGGGGGGATGAGGGGGAGGGGAAGGCTTTGCTGGGAGGCGAAGGGGTTGCGGGGCGATCAGCGGAGTGGGGGGCAGTGGAACAGTCAGGGGTGGCAGGAGGGGCGGGGGAGAGTGCGAGCAGCAGGGCAAAAGGGGGGCGCAGCGCATGGGAGTTGCTGGGGGAGCGGCGGCTGCAGCTGCTGCTGCCTCTGCTGCTGTACATCGGGCTGCAGTCCGCCTTCGTTGCGTGCGTCCCTGCCCATGCTCATGCTCATTCCGCCGTTCCACTTTCTGCCATGCCTTGCCACTCCCTCTCACGCCCTGACACGCCCTGTTGATAGCATTCTCACTACCGCACCTGGCTTCTCTGTTGATAGCATTCTCACTACCGCACCTGGCTTCTCTGTTGCCTTTCATGTAGCGTCCTCCTCTCCTCTCATCACTCTATTTCACATAGCGCATCCTCCCGCCATCCTTACCCACCTCCTCCCCACGTCCTGTTTCCCTCCCTCCCCCAATCCACCAGGGCGGACTTCACACTGTACGTGGTGCGCCCAGCGCTGGGAGTGGCGTGGATCGGCGGGGTCATGTCCGTGTTTGGCGTCGCCAACAGCCTCGTGAGCTGCCTTCTCCCCTGCTTGCATGCCATGCCCCCTGCCGTATCATCACTGCAGCCCTCCATATTCTCCCTGCATTCACATGGCATCAGGCTTGCATGCTGCAGGGAGCATCGTCCCACTCGCTCCCTCGCGACTTTCTCCCTCTCTCTCCCACCCCCACTCGTCCCCGGCCAGGCGTGCATGGCAGCGGCGCGCCTGTCATCGGGGCTGCACTCCATACTCGCCACGCTGCTCATCGGTGCCGCCTGCCAGATCGCCGTGCTGCTCTCCCTCATGCTCCTCACAACCTTGTCAGTGCCCCTCCACGCTGGCCGATCTTTTACGTACCCTCCTGTACTATAACCATTACATGTCTTCGCCATACCTGGCTAGGCTATCATGTGCATTAATTTCCCGTGCTCGACCATAATACATGGTTTTCTCTCTCTGTCCGACTCCCCTTTTTCCCCTCCCCACGTACCCTTACATGCCCTCCTCCCTTGTTCCCACCCCCCCTCCCTCCCTCCCCTCCCCTCCCCCTTCTCACTCTCCTGTGCGCCCCAGCACCGCCCCCTCGTGGTGGGCCTTCACAGTGGTGTTGCTGCAGGCAGTGCTGTGGGGGGTGGGAGATGCCGCCTTCCAGTCGCAGATCAACGCACTGCTGCCACTCGTCTTCCCTCGAGACATGGTGGGCCCCTCACCCACCCCCCACTACCTCCTTTAACCGCCATACCAACCCACCACACCTTCTCCAATCTGTGACTTTGCTCCCACCCATCCCATTCCATTTCCATGCGTCACCCACCACCCCTCCTCACATTCTCCACCCTTCCTGTTTTGTTGACCCGATGCCTCTCTCCCCATCAGTTCCCTGTCGTATCCCACTCCACACCATCCCCACCCGTCCGTGCATTCCTCGTCCTGTGTTCTCCCGCGTCTCGTTACAGGACGCCTCGTTTGCGCACATGAAGATGTGGACCAGTGCAGCCTCCTCCCTCATGTTCCTCCTCAGCCCGCACCTCTCCATGCCCGCCAAAGCAGCCTTCCTCACTGCCTCCTGTGCCGTCTCTCTGCCTCTCATGCTTGCGGTTGTGCATGTTCCATAGGCCACAGCTCGGTGCTGCTTCGCTGCCTCTCTTTCTGTGTTGTATGGTACGGTATTTGCAATCAACGTGTTTCCATTCCAATGCTACTACCATGGTATGGGCCACTGAGTGAGCAGACGGCCACTGTTTAGGAATTGGGTACTGATAAATTTCAGTAGTTAGTAGCATGGTACAAGTCAGGATGGGTCCAGTAATGTCACGTCAGAGGTGTTGGGAGAAGCAGTCTTCATCACACAAAGAAGTGATGCAGACGCCCCTCTCCTCTTCTAATATGATAGCTGCTGTACATGATAAATTGTATACACCAACCTTTTCCTAGTGAATGGTGCAATGCAAATGCAGCATTTGCGCCTCGTTCACTTCCTGCGCCACTTTTCACGGCTGCTGCTGTTTCACGCGGACGTCGGCACCACGCCCCCTGTCGCCGCCGCAGCAGCGCCCCCCGCGATGCGGCGCTGGTGGAGCGCGGGCGCGGAGAGGACGCGGCGCACGACGCGGCCGCCGAAGGCGTGGACGAGGATCCAGGGGTGGGAGAGCAGCTTGGCGGAGGAGGGGCGTCGGCGCGGGTCGCGGTGCAGCATGCAGCGGAGCAGCCCCTTGGCCTCCGCCGACACCCCCGCCCACGCGCCGCTCGTCAGGTCCAGCGGCGCCTCCAGCACGGCGCGAAACACGCCGTTGTCGTCCGCACCCCAAAACGGCGGGCTGCCGCTCAGCAGCACGTACAGCACCACGCCCAGCGACCACACGTCCGCCTCCACCCCGTACTCGCCTGTCAATACCTCCGGCGCCATGTAGAACGGCGAACCCGCTGCGCCGTACGCTCGCTCTCCCTGCGTAAGTCCGATTGCGAGGCCGAAATCCGCGAGTTTCGCGCAGGTTACGTCTGTACCCGATATGTTCTGTTTCGACAAGAGAATGTTCTCCGGTTTGAGGTCGCGGTGCATGACGCCTTTGGAGTGGCAGAATGCAACGGCGCTGGCGATTTGGCGAAAGATAAGAGCAGCTTCTTTCTCTGGTAACCTGCCGCGTCGCACGACTTCGTCGAAGAGTTCGCCACCGTCGCACAGGTCCATGACGAGGTGAACCTGTCGCTCGTCTTCGAACACCGCGCGCAACTGCACGACGCCCGCATGCCCCGCCACGCTCCGCATCGCCGCCACCTCGCGCCGCACCTCGTCTCGCATGCGTTCGTCCGCTAGCTGCTCTTTGCTTATCATTTTTACTGCGAAAGTTTCGCCTGTCGCACGGTCCGTGCATTGTCGCACGACACCGAATTCACCCGACCCGAGCAATTGTGTGTCCGAGGCGAAGTAGTTTTCGAATCGCGCGGTCGAAACGCCGAATATTGACGGGCAAGAACCGGCGTCGGTTGCATCCGACGACGAATCCGCCGCATTCTGGAGCTCTAACCGCCGTTGATGCTTCGCGCTCTGGGAGTCGGCCGACGGCGAGTCCGCCGCGTCTGCCTTGCGCTTCTTGGGCACCTCTAGAGTGCGCGTTCGCCTGTGCTCTAATGTTGCCGTCGTCGCCTGTGGGAGTGGTGACACGCTCGAGCCTGACTGCGCCATTGAGCCTGACTTCACGGACGGATTACTCAACGAAATGTGAGTCGTGTGCCTGTCTTCTGGTGTGTTGCAGCAGACTTACTGAGAAAACGCGGAAAAAGCTTCTATACAGTATTAGAATGGGCCACGAAGCAGACTTTGGAGCTAAAAAAGGCAGGCAAGCGGCGGGAAGGTTGGGAGTGGTGGACTGAAAGCGGCGACCACGCAACGCACAGCTGCGTTTCCTTCAATTGAGTCGCACTGAGGAACCGCAGGGGCCGCAACTCGAGTCGCATGTCGCACGGGCAGCGTCGAAACTCCTCAGCGTTGAAGACACTAAAGCACGTTGCTAAAGACCACCTGTTTACGTTAGGACGTGTCACAATTGCGACATCGAGGAGGATCGTGATCACGCACCGAAGCTGCGAGAGTCGATCTCCTCAGAGCCAGATGTGTCGCGATTGTCTTCAGGCTCGATAGTTAGCGGGGCTAGAAGCCTTATTAAAAGTTTTAAATGCATTATGTATGATTTGATTGCGGTAAAAGATCGATCTGGAAGGGACATCGCGTTCGGTGACTTGCGTCGGGTCTTAGCGAGCTTTAACGAAAACGGGATACAAGATACAGCTATTTACTGTATACATGGAACATCGATCTCCCGCAGGATCGATGTCGCAATTGTAATGCGTCCTTTGTACCCCTGGCGTGTGGGTGTAACTCCCCTGGCTTGTTTAGGCTCCGATTCTCATCCCCGTTGCTTTCCGTCACGCGCGGGTTGTTTTGCTGGTGAGTAGTGACGACGAGTGTACAGCTGTAGGTGCAAAGTGAGGAAACCATGCTTGGGAATTGGTGAGTGGCGCTCCGCACTCGAGGTCCTCAATTTGCCCAAAATGCACCAAACGTACCGATATAAACGAACTCGTGCTCTGTGAAGTGAACCACTCTCCAGCAGAGAGCCGGCGTGGGCATCCACGTGATGTGTACACTAGACGCAGTTAGAGCCACAAACGACTTGGACACAGTCGTGTGACATGATGACAGTTCATAGGAATCCCTGCTTTCACGTCGCGCTTGCTGAATGCCCACGGACGTAGGTTCTGTGCCAAGGAAATTGGAAGCGCCGTGAAAGCCTCAATTTCCATCATACGTACAGTAAAAAAAAAAAACAAATCTCAAGGTCTGGGTGTCCTCTTGCAAATGGTGGTCTTATTTTACGGTTACGACCTTATATAACTTAACCCTAACCTCTCGCAAATGGTGGAGAGACAATGTTCCACTGATACCCTAAAAAAACATTTTTCAGAGCACCGCAGGAAGTTACTGCTTCACTCATGATATTCACGTGAGGGCAACGAGAATGCTTGGGGCACGTGAATTGACTTCAGTCACAGATGCGCTACGTTTTCCTTTCCCCCAGCTGCCAAGACTCGGCCGATGACACAGATCCCCTATAGCATATAAGCTAAAGTTCAATATGGTGCTTTCAAACACTCAAAAGTTATGTGCGATTTGAAGCATACCGTTACATTACGCTCATAAATATTATCATGATGCATAATGTGAAGATTTGAACTGTAATTATCCCTTATTTTTACACCTTGCACACCTTCGGATGGCATATGCGGACATAAGAGGTATAAAGATATAATAATCTCATTTCATTCCATCAACTAGATTCCAAGGTTGTTAATGTATGTAATAGTCTGTCTTGCCAGGAATCTGGTTTTTTGTGTGTCATGCATTCTTTTCATTCTCTAACGTACTTGCCGTAGCTTAAAATTTGGACATATATCCTCTTGAGGTAACTCGGTGTACAATAGTGCCACTGCCAATCAGCAGAGCTTCTGGCGGCAAGCCCCATTCAGCTAGGCTGTGAATTCTGAATCCCCGAATGACGGCGGATGGTCAAGTCCGGTCTGAGCCTGATCAGGCTGTCCTGCATCTATCTCTACGGTGCCTGTGCTGCCGTTGCGTCCTCTTGCCTCCTTCACTCTGAGGTGAAGGCGTTGATTTTCCCCTGTCAACGTCATCCTAAGTGCTGCCGTTGCATTCATGTTTCGTATGAAATCGGGAACGGCTGGTGGTCGACAATGCCATTAGAAGCGTTATGACGATGAAGTGTTTTTTCTTAGCCCGTAAAACTTCAGAATGGTCCTAACTTTTAGTGAAGGAGAGTCAGGTTCACCCCGCGTCTAGGGCTCAAGGAAATTTCGCCTCATTTTGCGACTCTGTCGCACCCGTCAGCGCTGAATTCGGCAGTTTACTGAACCTGATTCTTGGCTGCTGTGTATCGTGACTCCTGAAGATGCCTGCATTGGCTCCCATGGCGACGAATTTCGTGAAGGGTGGTATCGCAGGCTTAAAAACGAGCTCGATTTTCGTTTTTGCATGCCTTGTAGCAGCGCTCGTGCCGGCATGTTCGTCGATCGGACCCAACCCTAGCATCTCATCTCTTTCCGCCTCTCGCGGCATCGCCTCGCCGTCGCATGCGGCGCCCAAGGCGGGTCCGCAGATCAGCAGCCTGCTGCTGCTACTGCCGCCTCGCGCGCGCAATCCCGTCAGATTCCATCTCCTCGGATCCAACGGCTGCTTCTCCTGGTAGGAAACGCGCAAGTTTAATCGTCTAATCTAGTCCGTCCGGTCTGATGATCCATGCTTCCGTTTCGTCTCCATTGTCAATCCATGGCGATCGTCAGCATCTGTAGACGGGCGTACTTCGCCGTCAACCCCGCTAGTCCCCTCTCCTGATCTCTCCCCCCCTCCCCCCCTGGTACCATGTGCGTGGGTGGCGTGCAGGGCATGGGACCATCATGACCTGCTGCACGTGCAGCCTCTTTTCAACACCACCGATGACGCTGTCGCAGCAGAAGCAGCAGGAGCGGCAGGAGGGCAAGCGTGGGGGTCCCATGGCAGCAGCAGCAGCAGCAGCGGCGGCAGCAGCGGCGGCAGTGGCGCACGCGGGGGGTGTTCAACGAGCGCGCTGATCTCGTCCATCGCGCCGTACTCGGGCGCGCCGCGCACCACAGCCGTCATTGCCACGGACCTGCTCTCCGGCGCCGTGCTGCGCTGCGAGGTGCGCCCTGCGCCGTTTGCCTTTCGCTGCTCGCCCGTCAACCCCTCACCTCTGGCCTCTCGCCCCTCGTTCCTGCCGCCTTCTCCCTTGGCGTGTGCCGCACTCTCCCCCCCGTGGAGCATGGCAGGTGCGCGTGGACGTGGTGCAGCGCGTGGCCATATTCCACCGCAGCCTCAAGATGGGCCTCTCCAGCCTCGCGGACCTCGAGGTGCTCGCCTTCAACGACCACGGTGAGGGCTCTGCTCTGCGCCATGGGGGGTGGACAGTGCGCCGTGTGTGGGGTGCTGTGGGGTGTACGGTGTGTCCGTGCATGTCCCAGCAAGAGCCTCGCGTTTTGCTACTACCTGTCGCTCAACCTCCTCTCTGCCAGTCCAGGTGTCCCAAGCAAACCCTGTCGTGCTCTCTTTCCCTGTACCTGCCCTTCTCTCCCCCACCAGGCGACGTGTTCTCATCCGTGGCAGGGCTCGCCTTCCTCTGGACCCTCACGCCCCTCGGCTCGCCCTTGCCCGCCCACCGCCAACCTGCGGCCTCCACGGCGCCACGTGGCGAGCAGGCATTGGAGCACCGCCTGCAGCACGTGCCGCTGGAGGAGGCGGCGCTGCTGCTGGCGGGCGGCGAGGAGGGGCGCGGCGCTGCTAGGGACGACCTGGGGGTGGGTGGTGTGGGTGCTGGGCTGGGGGGCCGAGGAGTGAGAAGAACAGGCTTTGTCAGGGTGGGTGCTGTGGGGTTGGCGTGAGGAGCGAAGGCAGGAGAGTATGGAGAGGGAGGGCTGTCAACAAGGGTCAGGTACAGCAGGGAGATAGCATCAGGAGGAAAGCATCAGCTGCGGAGTAGTTTATCGTTTGCCTATCACCTTCATACCACTCACCTCCGATCCTGTGCACGTGTCTCTGTGTATCTCGCACCCAAGCAGGTGGAGCGGTCAGACGTGTATGTGGTGAGGGGCGTGGCACCGGGGCAGGAGAGGGTCGCCGTACAGCTCATGGACGCTGACGTCACCGCCGCCGCTGCTGATACAGCAGGAGCAGTAGCAGGGGGTGCGGCAACACTGCCATCGGACGCCATAACGCTGACGGTGGCGCAGGCCTTCTCCCTGCAGCCGCCCTCCCCCGTGCTGCTGCTGCCCGGCGCCCGCCTGCCCTTCCGCCTCCTCACCTTCACCCACAATGCTCTGCAGCGTACGCCACCCACACCCCCTTCTCCTCCTCGCCCTCCTTCGACCTGTCCCTCACCCACCCCCCCTCCCCCGACCCCCTCCCTCCTCCCCTACCCGCACCTCCCTCCTCGCTCACCCTCCTCTCCCTTGTCGCTCACCCTTCTCTTACTTGTCGCCCACCCTCCTCTCCCTTGTCGCCCACCCTCCTCTCCCTTGTCGCCCACCCTCCTCTCCCGCACCGAGCATGCTGTTTTTTCCAGCGGCCGCTTCCCTTTCGCTTCAGTCACCCACTTTTCCCACCTCTCCCGTTTCAACCCCCATTCAACAAAATCTCCCCCTTCCCCTTCCCCTTCCCCCTCCCCCCAGCGGTGCAACTGCCCTCCCCCAGCTATGCGTGGGCAACAGGCAACACCTCAGTGGCATCAGTGCATCCTGCACAGGGCGTGCTGACCGCGCTCGCCCAGGGCGCCACCACGCTCACCGCCACTGACGTGCGCTTGGTGGACCACCACCAGGCCGCCTCCATCCACGTCGTGCTACCTGGCGATGTCAAGATCTTCCTCGCGCCACTGGCGTTGCACCCAGGGGACGGTGTGGGCGGGGGCGGCGGCGAGGGGGAGGTGTGTTCTGGTGCAGGTGCAGCTGGGGGAGGGGGTCTGCCTGGGGCTGTGGCGTGCAGGGCTGTAGCGGAGCCTGTGGCCAGTGGGGGGGACACGTGGCACCTTGTGGTTGGGCGGGAGTATGCCCTGTGGGTGCAGGTGTTTGCACACGGGTGGCCCAGCCGGCCTGTGCTGCTCACAGAGGCCGACACGCTGCTGCTGCGCTTTGACCACCCACCGCTCTGGACGGTCGTGAACGATGCTGCGCCTGCCTCTCTGCCTGCACAGGCGCCTGGTGGCATGGAGGGGGGAGGTGGTGGTGGGGAGGAGAGGAGCCGTGTGGTTGTGGTGCGCGGAGGGCAGCAGGGGCAGGGCGAGGTGCAGGCTGAGCTGCAGTACCGAGAGGTGAAGAGCGGTGGGAAGGGGCGGGAGGAGAAGGTGGTGGCGGCGCAGGGGATTCGTGTGTGCGACCCCGTGCTGGTGCACCTGCCCTCTCCCACAGCCACTGCCTCTGCTCCTTCTTCTGCTTCGTCATCTTCCCCCCCTGTTCAAGTGGTGCACCTGCCGTGGGTGCCGCAGCTTCACTCTGCGCCACCACCCCAACGGCAGCAACTGCTGCTGCTGGCGTCGGGAGGTGAGTCCAGGCACACGGGGTAAGGGCACGGCAGGGAGGTGAGTCCAGGCACACGGGGTAAGGGCACGGCAGGGAGGTGAGTCCAGGCACACGGGGTAAGGGCACGGCAGGGAGGTGAGTCCAGGCACACGGGGTAAGGGCACGGCAGGGAGGAGCAGCAGGCGGAGGGGCGAGAGAAGGCTGCTGAAGGAGTTGTTCGTCTGAGTGGAGTTGCAGTGAGCTGACGACGGCTGATGCACACGGTGAATACATCTGCTTCTATAACCTTTGGGAATTCCCCCAAATCAATCCCAGCTTGCCATCTCACACCGTTTCTGCTTCTGATTCCATTCCATCTCATTCCGTCGCCCTCAAATCCGTGTACCCGGCACCACCACCAGGGTGTGGCAAGCGTGCTTCTGACTATGTGTGGACCAGCACTGACTCCACCATCGTCCACGTGGCGCCCTCTGGTTGGCTGACGGTGGCCGGGCCGGGTGTTACGATGGTGCGAGTGGCAGCAGCAGTGGACGGCAACAACTTTCACCAGGTGCGCGTGGTGTTCTCTGAGCTCAGAGGGGGAACAGAGGAAAGGGGAAGGGGGAAGGGGGATGAGAAAGCGGAGTGGATGAATGAGGGAGGTGGGAACTCAGAAATGTGTATTGCTGTTTGCAAGTTCTCTCTCTAGTCCCTGCTGAGCTCAGCCCATTGTGCAGTCACCCGCATACGATGTCTAGAATGCACATGCGTCATGCACCATACCACATGCTCATATGCAGCTCACCCATCCCCACCCATGCACGTCCGTACCACTCTTGCCACTGCCGCCATGGCACGGAAGCAGGTGGAGGTGCGGGTGAGTGAGCCACACACGATGCAGGCGGTGGGCGAGGAGGAGGGCAGCACCTTGCAGCTGAGCGTGGGTGTGGAGGCGCTTGTGGGCCACTCCCTGCTCCTCGCTGCCCGCCTCCTCTCCTCCTCAGGTGCGCTGCTGTTCTCGCCGCTTTCTCACACCCTCCTTGCATCCGTGCCTAGCCCCTCTCTTGATTGATTCTATGCTCCCCGCCGGACTGCCCTTCTTGATATTCTTCACTCTCTTCAGCCAACTCATTTACTCTCCACACTCACCTTCTTCCTTCTCGCCCGCTTCCCACCACCCTTCCCCCTCAGGAGAACCATACACCAACTGCACCGCTCTGAACCCATTCGTGCAGTGGCATCTGCAGGCACTGCTGCCTGCCACCCCTCCGTCTTTCACCCTCACTTCTCCACCCCCAATCGCCTTCATGCCACCATCCGCTCTCTCGCCCATCTGTGTGTGGACCTCTCTGTCCGCCATAGCACCTGGTCGCACACAAGCGATAGCTCTCCTGCCACTGCCGCCACACACAAAACCTGCTGATGCTGACGCTGGCAGTGTGGAAGAGAGGGCAGGGGGGGGCTCAGAGGGCGCGGGGCAGGGAGTGCAAGGGGAGTGGGCGGTGGCGGGGTATGAGGCGATGCATGTGGTGCAGGCGGGGGACGGGTGGCGCCAGGGCGGCTATGGGCTACCATCAGCAGCATCACCTGCTGTGCCTGGAAGGCAAGGAGACTTGTCTGCAGTAGCAGCAGCAGGTGCGGAGGCCCTAGCAGCATCAGCGCCAGCCGCAGCAGCAGCGGTGGGCATTGGAGCAGGGCTGTCAGTGCCGGCTCTCCTGCTGGCGCCAGGGGCGTCCATGGCCCTCACCCTCTCAGGCGGCCCTGACAGGTGGATCCCAGGCAGGCAGTTCCTGGAGCAGGTGCATGTGGCGGCTGTGGGGGAGGAGACGGGGCCGCTGGTGAGAGGCGAGGCGGAGGGGAGGGGAGGAGAGGAGCGGAGGGAGGGTGAGAAGGAAAGGGCGGTGGAGGTGGAGCAGGTGGGGGGGCGGGGTGGCAGGGGGTACGTGGTGCGGTGTGCTGGTGGTGTGGCGTCCAACGACAGCTACGTGAGTGCCAACTGTGTCGTGCCATCTGCCTCTTCTTGCCTTCCCTGCTCTGCCTGCCTTCCTTCCCCATGCGCCCATGCTTTCACCCACCTACAGATCGCCTCCTTCCCAACCACCTGTAATCTCCTCAATCGCTCAATCGCCTGTCCCTCTCCTCCCTTCTCTCTCCCCTTCCCCCACCTTCCCTGCTCCCTCAAACCCACTCCAGCGGGTGACCTTTACAAGAGGCCACCAGCCGTCCTCGCACGCCTCGCCGGCCACCCTCCCCTCGGCGTCCATGGTGCTGCACTGCGCGCTGCCTGCTGCTGCCGCCATCCTGCTCGACGACTCCGGTGCGCCCTGCCCTGCCCTGCCCTGCCCTGCCCTGCCCTGCCCTGCCCTGCATCCCGCTCTCTTCTCAGCATCCCTTCACTCGCTTTGATATTCTCTCCATACACACTGGTATCCTTCTGGCATCCCTCCCGCTCACCCCCTGTACTTTATCCTCCGTCCCCCTTTCCCCCGCTTCTCTCTACTGCAGCTCGACTCCCTGCAGCCATAGCAGCATCAGCAGCCTCATGCCATCCACCAACGGGAGAATGCCACGTGGCACCAATCACCCTTGTGACACATCAGCACGTGCGGCTGGTTGCTGCAGCCCTTTCCTCGTCCATTGCACCCTTTGCCAACGCGTCCAGCCAATGGCTGCACACCACGTGGCAGCTGGAGGGGTGTGATGACATGGCATGGTGGGGTGCAGACGAGCCCGACAGTGGGGGGGGTTCAGGGGAGGAGTGGAGCAAATGGGTGCACACAGGCGACAAGGGAGGCGAGGTGAGGCGTGGGTGGGGGGTGGGAGGGGGCTGTGCTGTGAACAGTGAATGTGCTTGACAAGGGTGGATGGGCTGGGTTGCTGGTGGCTGTCAGTGCAGCAGATGAGTTACTCGCCTTGGCCTCTGCCCCTTCGGACCTCTGACCCCATCGTATCCACTTCCCCATGCCATGCCCTATCCTGCCGTGGCAGTGTCGGGTGCATGTGGATGTGACGGCACCACACGCCAAGGGGGGCTGGCTGCACATGAAGCGAGAGGGGCAGGGCGCCCACCGGGACGCCTTCCATCTGCGCGCCTCTGCCCTCCTGCAGGTGCCCTCCCCTGCCCTCTCTGCTGCTCGCTTCGCATCTTCTCTCTTCTGCCCGTGCTTTTGTTTTCGCCTAATTGCTACCGCTGCCTGCTGCTCCCACTCTCGTGGTGTTGGCTCGGTCGCTCATGCGTGTAGTCTCCGAATGCTCGCACCGCTGACTCTACCCCTCTCTCATTCCCCTGCAATGCCCGTGCGTGTGTGCATGCAGGTGGTGAAGGCGCTCAGGTTGGAACCGCAGGCCGTGCTGCTCGTCAACCATCCCCACGCCCATGTATGTGCCCTTCTCTTGCCTCTGTCTCTGCATGCATTCTGCATGTTTAGACCCTTGTATACTGTTCGCAGCAGTGCTGGTTTGCTCGTGCATGCATTCCCCCTCACACCTCTCAAAGCATCGTCTATTCCAACGCCTATTCATGGCATCCTATTGCTTCTTCCTCTCACGTCCCCCAGGCGGATGTGACAGTAACAGGGGGCACCTCCGAGCTCCAGTTTTTCATCTCTGACCAATCAGTGGCTGCCATTCTGCCACGTGGCACTGCAGCAGCAGTCCAGCTGGCAGCGCGTGCACGAGGCGATGCCACATTGACAGCAGTGGACGCTGGGCTCTCCCATCCGCTCTCTGCCAACGCCTCGGTACCTCCCCCATCCCACCCCCGCCTCACGTACCCATATGTGCTCTGCCCGCCTTTCTCCAACGCCCACTTCCTGCTGCGCCAGTATCTTCCAAGCTCCGTGCCTTCATTCCTGTGGCCAGGCTGTAGGATCAGCCCTGTCTTGCCTCCTACACCTTCTCCCTGCCTGCCCACACCCTCGTATCTCACCCTCCCTTCCCCTCCTCTCTGCCCCCACATCACCACCGCATGCCCCCATCCGCCAATCAGGTGTCAGTGGCTGACGTGGCATGGGTGCGCCTGCACCCCGAGGGCGCACAGCCGTCCACGTCAGCAGTGGCGGGCGAGTGGTGGGTGCAGGTGGGCGCCACGGCGCGCATCACAGTGACTGTGGGGGACGACCGCGGCCACCTCTTCCCCGCCTCACAGGTCCGCTCACCTCCCTGCGCACTTCACAATGCTGCCTTGCTGTTTAACGTTCACCACACGTCATCCTGCATTCTGCATGCTCACATGGCTTCCCTGAGCTTTCCAGTCGTTCACCTGCGCACTCTTCTTTCTTTCCTGCTCCCCCCACCTTTCCCCCTACCCTTCCCCCTTTTTCCTCTCCCCTCTCTCTCTCCCCCATCCCCCCTCGTGCCCCTTCTTCAGTTCGAGTGGATGGGTTTGGAGGCGCATGGCATGGCAGGTGTGGTCGCTCTGCACTTGCCCTGCTCGCGCTCCTCCTCTGATGGGGATGACGTGGCATGTTCTGACTCGCTGGAGCTCACAGGGACGGCTGTGGGAGTCACCACTGCCTTCCAGGTCCTCGCTTCCCCTGTCCCCTTCTTCAAGCCCTGTTTCCACTCTGCTATTTCCATTGTCCCTTCCTCCCCCCCCACCCCCCGCGCTTCTTTTCTGTCCACACACCCCGTCCCCATGCATCCACTGCCCTTTTATCCTCTTGAGCAACCTCTGTCATCGACTTTTCTCTTCACTGTAAATCCCTTGCTTGATCGTAAAACCAGCATGTAATCGCCCATTCCCCCCATCGGCTCCCATTCCCCCCATCGGCTCCCATTCCCCCCATCGGCTCCCAATCGCTGCTACCCGTGCCACTCTCCCCTCGCCCCCGTATTCCCCTGCCCCATCCCCCTTCGCCCTGTTCCCCCATGCACCTATGGGCGAGCAGGTGAGTGCGGGCATCCACCTGTCAACAAGGAGGGTGTTTTCAGACGCCGTGCGCGTCACGGTGTACGCGCCGCTCGCCCTGCACCCGCCCTCGCTCACCCTCGCCCCGGGAGCATCATACATGGTGCGCTCTCCTGCCCTCTCACGCTCCCCCTCCCCTCCCGCCCCATCTGCTGAACTCCCTTTCCCCGCTTGCCCTCCATTTTCCCTTTAAATGGTCATGCATACATGGTACCTATTCATCTGCTTTTCATCGTCTGGTATTTTCCCACTTCATCTCCCACTCACACCCGTCTCCTCCCATCCTCCCCTGCTCTCGCTGCCACGGCATCAGCTGCAAGCCACAGGAGGTCCCTCCTCCCCAACCACGACCATCGCATTCGCCTCCTCCAATCCTGACGTGGCACACATCGATTCGTCGTCCGGCCTCGTCACGTCTCGAGCGCCTGGCACAGTTGTCATCCGAGCCATGGCGCTAGGCTCGGCAGGGCAGGTGTTGAGCGTTGCCGAGTCTCGGGTGGAGGTTCGGGTGATGGAGGTGGTGGGTCTGAGTGTGGGCAACGGGCAGCTGGCAGTGGGGGAGGAGATGGCTGTGTTCCCCACCGGGGGGCATCAGGTGAGGCTTTAAGATTTGAATCGCTATCTTCTCATTCCTCTTCCTTGTCTCCCTCTTCACCTCTTCTATCCCTTCTCCTCAGCATCTTTCTCCTCTTCTTTTCCCCCCTCGCTCCCGCCTTTTCTCCCTACAATCAGGGAGAGGATCTGCTCTCGTTCGCACGGGTGTGCCACGGCTACCAGTGGAGTGTCAGCCACAACCAGGTAAGCCCACCACGCCATGTCACGCGGATCGCCTGTGGGCTGCCATCCCTTGCGCCCACCTCACCTATCCCTTGCACCCACATTGCCTGTGCCTTATTTCTCAACTGCGCCCACCTCGCCTATCCCTTGCACCCACATTGCCTGTGCCTTATCTCTCAACTGCCACGGTTTGTTCCGTCCCTCCCTGACTCCACTCGTCATCCCCGTCCACACCCCTTTCCCCACACAGCTGCTGCAGCTACAAACGGCGCCATCCCTTGACGCACAGGTGCCTGGCAGCACCTCAGGGGTGGCAAGCAGCAGCAACCGTGGGAGTGACAGTGCCAGCGACAGTGGCAGTGCAGCGGTGGACATCGGCTTCTCAGCGCGCATCACTGCCAGGTCAGCTCAGTGCAGCTGCAATGCACGGCAGAGGAGAGCGTCTCTGCTTGCTGCTGCTCCGTTCTTTTCCGCGCGTCCCCTATGTTCCATGCCATGCTCTTTCTTCTTCCTTCCAATCCCACCTCCCTGCCTTTTTTCTCCCATCGTCTCGACCACCTCCTACCCCTCAGGGCGCCCGGCACAGCCACAGTGGCGCTCACCTTCACCTGCTCCTTCCCCACCTCCTCCAAGCCCTCCGCGGCTCCTCTCCGCCGCTCCTACTCCGCTTCTGCCTCCATCTCCATCGTCCCCACGCCCCCTCTCGCGCTTGGCATCCCTGCCACGTGGCTGCTGCCCATTGGCTACACCTCCTCCCCTCTGCTCCCGCCCTCTCTCGCTTCCACCACCTCGGGAGGTGCGGCGAATGCTGCAGCTGCACGCTACTCCTACTCCCTGTTACACGACCAGGTAACTGCCCTGCAATCCCGCACCTCCTGCTCTCCCCTTTCCTCTCCTCGCTCCCCTTCCTCTTTCACCACACTGCACTGTTCTTAACACCCTCTCCCGCACTCCCTTACATCCCGCCCGTCATCGCCCCCAGTCACCCCTAGGCAGCGGACATGTGTCGCTGGCAGAAGGCGGGCGAATAGCAACGGGCGAGCGGGCAGCGCTGGGGTGCATTGCAGTGGCCGACTCTGCCAGCGGCCGCCACGACATCGCTGCCTGTGTGCGCAGCGCCCAGGTGGGGTTTCTGCTGCGCTCAGGTGGAATGGAGGCCTGGCCTGGCATTGGTGTCACCATTCCTGTAGCGCGTGCTCACTGTATGAAGTTCTCTTCGCAGCTGTGTGTGTCACTCTGCTGTGGGAAAGTGACAGCAGTTGTGAGTCACCATTACTGCCTCCCTGCTCTCCCTCGCCTTCCACTCACATTTTCGACTCCCATCTCCTGCTTCTCCACCCTCTCTTTTTCGTCCCTCCGCACCATTCACCCCCTACCTCCCCTCCCCCGCGCCACCTCCAACCCCTGTGCCCCATGGCAGGCAGCGCAGCTGACGGTGGGGGACAACGACTTCCCCTTCCATGCGGCTGAGCTCTCCGTGCCCGCCCAGCAGCTCTTCTCCGTTCACCTCCGAGACAGCCTCGGTAAGAAACAGGCTTGGTAAGATGCAATCACTGTGGAAGCCTGATTGTTCATAGGAAAGGTTACAGGCTCGCTGGACTAGGGGGTTAGCCAGTCTGCGCTGCGAGTCGGCGCTGCAAGTCGGCGCCTTGTAGACCAAGGCGCGCGTGTGGACCTAGGCGCGCCTGTGGACCAAGGTGCGCCTGCGGACCAAGGTGCGCCTGCGGACCAAGGCGCGCCTGCGGACCAAGGCGCGCCTGCGGACCAAGGCGCGCCTGCGGACCAAGGCGCGCCTGCGGACCAAGGCGCGCCTGCGGACCAAGGCGCGCCTGCGGACCAAGGCGCGCCTGCGGACCAAGGCGCGCCTGCGGACCAAGGCGCGCATGTGGACCAAGGCGCGCGTATGGACCAAGGCGCGCCTGTGGACCAAGACGCGCGTGTGGACCAAGGCACTGCCAGTTGGCACTGCCAGACCTCACCCTCCAACAGCCAAAGAGTGCGCTCACCGGTTGGAGGCGAGCTCAACCGGGCGGCGAAGATGGTGAACTGTGCTCGTTCCCCTCCTCAACAAATAAAGAATGCGCTCACTGGTTGGAGGCGAGCACCGTAACACGTGTTTACGGTACCGTACTTGCGGCAGCCGATTTTAGTCCGAAAACATGTTACTTCACCACCCCCACACTCCGTACTACTGTATTGTATCATCGCCATTGCACCCCCGACAGAGATCATAGCACCTCAGGGCAACAATTCATTACCATTGTGAGATTTCAGGGCCCTCACGATGCACTATCCTGAATCTACAGGGTGATATTTAGCCAAATCCTGAAATTTTAGGGCACAGTACCTAGCAACACCCTGAAAATCAGGGTATCAAAATCATGTATCCTGATAACGTAGGGCCTGCTACCCTTGCGCGGTTTGCACTGTCTGCAGGAGTGCCCTTCCTGGAAGCTTCTGATGCGCGGGTGGAGGTGGACGTGGACAGGCCTGACGTGGTGTCAGTGGCGGTGGTGCCCAGCCTACCAGGGCCTGACATGTGGCAGCCAGCCAACATGACTGTGGTGGTGAAGGTGTGTGTGCGTGTGCATTTTGAGGGAGGGGGGGGGGGGGGCACTGAGGGGCATGGAAGTGGGAAACAAGGCACAGAGGTGCACCCGGTGCAGAGCATCTCTCTTCATGGCCGCCTCTCACTCACCACCCCTGCTTTCTGAGTTCCCCTCGTTTCCCTCTCTTTCCTCCTCACCCCCCTCATCCCTCTCCCCGTCTCTTCCCCATCCGACCGCCCTTCTCCCCCTCCAGGCGGTGCAGCAGGGCACAGCAGTGGTGCGCGTGAGGGTGCAGCCAGGGGCAGGGCGAGGGACACGTGGCAACCTGCCATTGGTGGACTTCATCACAGTGAGCTAAACCCTGGGCATGGGAAACGCAAGCTGGTGTAGCCACTCGGACAATCTGTGACTCACTTGCTCACTCACTCGCCATTCACTCGCCACTCACTCACTCACTCACTCACTCACTCGCTCACCCACTCACTTCCTCACTCGCTCCCGCACTCCCCCTGCCATGCCATCCCACCAGGTGCAAGTGGGCGCATACGTGTTCCCTCGGGATCCCCTTGTCCCTCTGGGTGCCTCTCTCAACTTCTCCCTCTCACACCGCCACCACCAGCAAGGTACATGCCCGCCACCTTTCATTTGCCATGTAATACCATATCATGCCATGCCATGTGCAGGAACGCAGAGTCAACCTGTTGTGTGGTTTCCCCACTCCTCCCCTTTTCTGTTCCTCTTGGCCCGCCCTTTTCCAGCCATGGGCGGCAGCAGGGGCGGCAGGTGGGAGAGTGGCAACAGCAGTGTGGTGGCGGTGGATGGCCGCACGGGGGAGGCAAGGGCCGTGGGGGAGGGCACCACTGTCGGTCAGTTGCCCCTTCACACCTGCCGCTTGCACCCACCTCACTCGCCACTCCTCTGCTCGTCCTCGCGAAAAAGCAGTTGGCTGATCATTGACCTTCTCCTTTCTTGTTTTTCTTGTTTCCAACCATGCCCTCCTGTCTTGCACAAGCACCTGCCCCTTCCTGGTCCCTATACCCTCGTTCGTCCCCCCCTCACCTGCACCCCCAGTGAGCTTCAACGCATCGCGCCTCACCTCATACACGAGGGTCACAGTGCTGCCAGTGGCGTCGCTGCTCGTCTCCCTGCCGCCATCCACGCCTCTCCTCTCCAACGCGCCTCCCCTCTCTGCTGTCGCCCGCCCCTTCCACTTCCCAGTCCAATTCAGGTGCAGTGCTGTGCTGTGCGCTGCCGTGCGGTGCTGTGCTGTTCTGTGCTGTGCCATTTAATGTGGTGCTGTGCTGTGCAGTGTGGCGTGTGGTGCTGTTTTTTGGTGCGGAGCTATGTGGTGGGAGCGGTTCATTGCAGCACTACACACAAATGCCCCTTTCAAACCCTCCTTTCTGAACCCCCGCTTTGTTGGCCCCTCCGCATTTGCCTCCTTTCTCACACTCCTCATCCCTTCCACTCTGCCCCACACCCTCGCATGCTTCCACGTGCCCATGCCTCTCCCGCACCCGCTCACCCACAGGGACTCCCAAGGCCGGGTCATGGGGCGACCCGCACAGTCCCCAGACGTGCCCTTCTCATGCCACGTGGTGCCTAGCATGCTCGGGTGAGTGAGGCTCTTGGCGTGATCAACCATCCTTCACCCTCTGCACTCCCCTCTCCCTCCACTACCTTCCCTCCACCATAATTACCTCACTTGTTTGCATAGCTCTTGTCCTCCTACCTCACACCCCATCGCCCTCCATCCCCCATCACGCTCTCCCTCACATTTCCTCTCATCATTCCCTCCATCCTCCCTCCTCCCAAATCCCACACCGCCCTCCTCCCATGCTCTGCAGCACGGCCTTGCCTCGCTTTGACACCGCCTTGAACTCCTACATCTGCTCCTTCACCCCCGCCTCTCCCGCACGCATCTTCTCCTCTCTCACTCAATCCTCCTCCTCGTCATCGTCAGCACCACCAGCAGCAGGGGGGGCGAAATTGGGAGGAGTGAACAGAGACGGGGAGGGCAATGGGGGAGGGGGAGTGGTGGTGGTGGTGGCGGCAGTGGTGGAGGCAGGGGCAGCGCAGGGTGTTCGCCCGGCTGTGAGAGGCCAGGCTGCTGTGCCGTTTGTGGGGGGCTTTGATGTGCTGGGCGCAGGCGAGGTGAGGGGAGTCGCACTGAATGGTGCATGGCACATCACCATGTTCCAAATGCCACATGGGATCGAACGAACGATCTCTGCCATGTGCATTCGAAGTTAACACATTGAACTCCCCCCTTGTTGTTTACCTTAATTCGCATGGATCGGTTTCCCTTCTTTGTTTCTGCTAGACTCTTCCTCTCTCCACCTGACGGTCTCTGCATGTGTGTGCGTGTGCGCGAGTGTGAGTGCAGATCTCTCTGTCTCGCGCCGCCAACGCCACCACCATTCGCCTCGTTGGGAACACAAGTGAGAGGACTGCACTGCTGCTGACTCGATTGAAATAACATCAAGCAACTGCCTTGCAATCAAGCTGTTCAGCATCTTCAAAAATATCTGTGTGCAGCACATGTGACAGATTGAGGGCATTTGGTGCACCCATCACAAAACTTCTTTCACCAACATTGTTCAAGCTGCATATTTGCACTGCTGCGCTCGCACCAGACTGTTATTTTGTCTCTCTCGCTTCTCCCCTCTCCCACACTGCAGGCTCGGTGCAAGTGGCATGGCGGCAAAGATCCTCTGTGGTGGTCAGGAGGACAGGCCCAGTGTCAGGGCAGGGCGTGAAGGGAGGCAGGCAGAGCACGCGTGCTGCCAGTGCTCTCCGCAGCACCTCACCTGCTCCACAAGGGCTTGCAGCCTTGGCAGAAGAGACAGTGTTTGCCGTCCAGGTAGGCTTCGAGTTTGTCACGCCACTCTCCCCTGCACAAGTGCTGCTTGCTTCTTTCCTAGTTTTCTCAGCCATTCTTGATTCTGTCTCCTTAGTATCCTCATTTGCGCCCCCATCTCTCTCCTCTACTCTCTCGCCTCTCTGCTCTCTGCCCTCTGCTCTCGCCACAGGTTGTGCTTGGGGACCATGCAGACCACGCGCGGGCATCCTTCGAAGATGACATCGTTTTCACTCATCTCGGCACAGGTATTTCATCCGCAATGGTGTTGGTGGCTGCACAGCACTATCCAACCCATCAACACCAAGACTTGCCGACAGCTTCCCCCACCACTTGTCAGCCACTTTGTGGCATTTACTGCATCTCATCCACTTCATGTCATCCAATGCATGTCATCCACTTCATGTCATCCAATGCATGCCATCCACTTCATGTCATCCAATGCATGCCATCCACTTCATGTCATCCAATGCATGTCATCCACTTCATGTCATCCAACGCATGCCATCCACTTCATGTCATCCAATGCATGCCGTCCACTTCATCTCATCCAATGCATGTCATCCACTTCATGTCATCCAATGCATGTCATCCACTTCATGTCATCCAATGCATGCCATCCACTTCATGTCATCCAATGCATGCCATCCACTTCATGTCATCTAATGCATGTCATCCACTTCATGTCATCCAATGCATGCCATCCAATGCAAGACAATCAACTGTCATCCCCATCACTCCCACCTCCCCACATCCCACCAGGGCAAAGGGAGACGGTGCACGTGACCTTCAATGCAGCTGCTGCACCGTCCACCCTCGTTCCCCTCAACCTGCTGTGGCTCGCAGCACTCACCGCCCTCGTCGCCTCGGCCATTCTCCTCCTCCTGCACCTCGTCAGCCCCGCCCAACCCTACATCCCCCACCCACAGCCCCCTCCCTCGCCTCTCCCCACGCCGTCTCCTCAGCGCCCGGGGTCTGCATTCCACACACCTGGTTCGAGTGCCTTCTCCCCGGTGTCGCCTTACAGCCAGATGGGGTCGCCAAGTCCCGAGTATGTGAGCTATGCAGGTCGCACCATTCACAGGGCTCCAGGGTACACCAACCCCATGGAGGACCCGCGTAGCATGTACTGATTTGTCGTGTGACTGAGTGTGGGTGTACTTTTTCGTGTTTCGATTGAATTTGAAGATGGAGACATGCCACCAAATTCCGTACACATCCATGCACGACCAGTGCTGTGAAACCGGCTGACAAATGGGATCAGTTTGAGGCAAAAAAACTCTGAAACAACTATAGCAAAAGGTAGAGCTTACTAGCAAAGGTGCATTGTTTTTGGTGTTTATAGCTGTCCAATTTCACTTATCACACATGAGCCACACGGGTTTGCAGCCAAGGCAAAGTGTTGCTGGCGTGCTGCCTTGAATTTCCAACTACATAGTGTAGATCCGCCCATATGCTGCCCGTCGATTTTCTCTCCAAACAAGTGGCTGTTTGACAAAAAGTGCAACGTGTTTGCCGGATAGATGACGAGTCGTGAGTTGGCAGCCAATAAGGAATGACAGTCAGCCAGCCAGTGATAGAAGCCACAGTGGACTGACGATATTTGTGGCCTCGCTGCATCTGCCTGATGTCAAGTGCATGGCAGTCTAGTCTGAGACATTTTGACGCCCAATGCGCTTACACAGCTAAAATATTTTGGTTATTATGAGGTTCGCCCGGAGTGGTGAGGTTTGTGGACGGGTATGCCCCGTTAGGGTGAGAATCTCGCGGCTTTCTCCAAGCAGGCCTACCGTTCTTTCTACCACCAGCTCACCACACCTTCCTTCCCCTTGTGCAAGTTACGCCATGCCGTTTCCTTCAATCCGTCTGCAATTCGGTCCCTTGGATGTGGAGTGGTTAGTTGTACTATTCCGATTTTCCGATGCCGACGCGTCTTTCCTAAACTCAACAGGGTGACTTCCATGACAGGTCTTAAAAATCGAGGAGAGTAGTGTGTTCGGTTTTCTGAGTTGCTGGGTTACACTGCTCGAACCAGGGCACAGCCCGACTCCGACGATTTGTTGTGGACGGAAGTCCCTTGAAGAGGCAGGATTCTGGTTGCCCATGGCTGTTAGATTCGTCCAAATCGAAACGTCGGGACTCGGAGGCCGCCGGCTGTCCATCAAAACGAAACGTTCGGAGACCGATCCCGCTGACTCGAAACCACTTCCCATCAAGCTAAGGAATCTTGGAACACGGAATTGAACCGTTCGATGAAACCTGAGAACGAGCTTCGCTGGTCAGATTATGACGTCGTGCTTCGAGGAAAACCCCCGCTTCTAGATCAGGTGAGATGATGTTTGAAATATCTATCCATCTGCTCGACTCTGGAATGGATTGACGAACCACAGACGCTACTGTTTGGTCAATCTGGTTTAGATGCTGGTTGCTGAGCTAAACGAGGCAACCAGAAATTGGCTGCGTTAATAATGCTCAGTCTACCTATCTTTCCCGCAACAAAAACAAACCTTATTCCTGAATATTAATCGTACGGCTTTGTACTGTAGACGATAGAATACCATGGTTTCGTATGACATCGCAATCCTTGATTCACCGCGTTGCGCGCAGATTCATGGTCCCTGCGCTACGACCAGCCAAAGACCCCTCCTCGTGTTTCCTCTCGTTTGCCTCACTCCTCCATCCCACCCAGCCTACATTCCCATCAGCTCCAAAGATATTTTCACCAATTCCGAGACTCCTGGTCTCTGACCCTGCTCTTCAATCTGATCTCATCACCCATGGCCCAGTCAGCATCCGACGACTCTCTTCGTGAAGCAGCGCCTGGGATTCGAAGAAATCAGTCACTCGACGGCTCTAAGAAACGCAAGATCGATTCCTCGCTCGTTGAGTCCGAATCGCGCTCACCGAAACAGACGAGAATTGCCCAATTCGACTCTTTCACTCCATCCGCCTCCTGCCCCTTTTTCGACTTCCACACGGAAAAGCTCGAGAATTATTTCACCGTGGATTCAGCGACGCTTGGCGCAGGACAATTCGGTATTGTGAGGCGGTGCGTCGAGAATGCAACGAATCAGGCCTTCGCGTGCAAGACGATCAATAAAGACCGCTTGCTGACATCAGCCGCGAGGGACGAGGTGCGGCGCGAGGTGGCGGCGATGCGGAGCGTGGCGGGTCATGCGGGCGTGGTTCAATTGCGTGGAGTTTTCGAAGACGAGCGACAGGTTCACCTCGTCATGGACCTGTGCGACGGTGGCGAACTCTTTGACGAAGTCGTGCGACGCAGGCGGTTACCGGAGAGAGAAGCCGCGCTTATTTTTCGCCAAATCGCCTCCGCCGTCGCGTTCTGTCACTCGAAGAACATAATGCACCGCGATTTAAAGCCTGAAAACATCATCCTCGCATCCTCAGACACCTCACGACTCCCCACTGCCAAGCTCGCCGATTTTGGATTCGCAGTTCCCATCCCCCCCGGACATCGCGCGTGTGGCGTCGCGGGTTCGCCGTTCTACATGGCGCCAGAAGTACTGACAGGCGAGTACGGGGTGGAGGCGGACGTGTGGTCGATGGGCGTGGTGCTGTACGTGCTGCTGAGCGGCAGCCTGCCGTTTTGGGGCGCGGACGACAACGGCGTGTTCCGCGCCGTGCTGGAGGCCCCGCTGGACCTGACGAGCGGCGCGTGGGCGGGGGTGTCGGCGGAGGCCAAGGGGCTGCTCCGCTGCATGCTGCACCGCGACCCGCGCCGACGCCCCTCCGCCGCCAAGCTGCTCTCCCACCCCTGGATCCTCGTCCACGCCTTCGGCGGCCGCGTCGTGCGCCGCGTCATCGCCGCACCCGCACTCCAGCAGATCCGCATGGGGGGGGGCGCTGCTGCTGTTCCGCTCTCCGCCTAGCGACACGGATTCGATTTTTTTTTTTTTGCAAATGCGCCATTGCCATTTTGGAGGACTGTTACCAGGACTGGAGCACAGGGGGATGCCAACCCAAGCGTTTTGACGTTACAGGGTTACATACACGAAGAGCTTAGAGCCTTGCAAGTGCACCTCAGCTGCTCATTCTGGAGCCAGGACGCTTGGCTTGGCATGCTGCCTGTTGGTTGTTATTCATATATTTTCCGTCAACGCTGATGCTTGAGTTGTTACAATGCGCAAAGCCTCTTTCTCAAATTCTATACCCTAAACAACAAATACTGGAACGTTAGAACTAGTTCAGAAAAGCCTGGTACTTTTTCATAAAATCTCTTGTTCTCTTCCAGTGCACCTCCTGAATCACATCCTACCGTATTCTCCTGGACAAAACACCCCCCCATAATTGTACACCCCCGGGTAGCTTGTGCGGGGTGGGTGTTATGATAGACCTCGTTTCTACTATACCCCCCTTTTTTGTCAAATTATATGCATGTCATATATGTGTAGGCTGTAGTTGGGTAGCCAAAATGGGGTACAAGCCCATCAGGGTTTCACATTTGTACCAAACCCTGATCTAGTCAATTCATTCCTGCCACTAGATTCTAACATGATTTCAGAGCACTAGGTCCTTAGAACCGTCTTTTTTTTTCCAGGCCCACCTACTGTTGCGGTTACCGTGCTACCCTACGTGTTGCCTTGCCTTGCCTTGTGACGTGCTGCGCTGCGCGCGCCGTCCTGCAGCCCTCGCGCTGCCTACTGCTGCCCTAGCTACGCGCGCACCGCCCTGCAGACCCTGCACATGGACGGGTGGGGCCCAGCCCGCGTCAGTGGGCAGGACCGCGAGCGGTACTTCCTGCTAGTTGTTGATGACTACTCGCGTTACGCCACGGTCTTCCCCTTGCGAACCAAGGGTGAGGTCCCTGATGTTTTGATCCCTTGGATTCGCGCTGCTCGTCTCCAGCTCCGCGAGCGGTTCGGGACGGAGTTTCCCGTCCTGCGACTGCACTCTGACAGAGGTGGGGAGTTTTCCTCTGACCATCTGCAGAGCTTTTGTCGTGGGGAGGGCATTCGCCAGACGTTCACGCTTTCGGCCTCTCCGCAGGAGAATGGGGTTGCTGAGCGCCGCATTGGCTTGGTCATGGAGGTCGCTCGTACCTCCATGGTCCATGCGGCTGCCCCCCCATTTTCTGTGGCCGTTTGCGGTCCGGTACGCCGCGCATCAGCTCAACCTCTGGCCCCGTGTCTCCTTTCTGGAGACCTCGCCCACATGTCAGAATGTGATGTTTGTCTAGCCTGCAGTGGGGTACTCTATAGCGAGTACAACCCAATTAGGGTTTCCTATATGTATCTCAATTGCTGCTAGTGAAAAACCCCTCTTTCATGTTTCTGATTCTTGCATAGTATTTCGACATGCTATCAGAGCAGGTCAACCCTCCTGGGTCGATCCTGTGGGTGGGCCCCACCCAATGCTTCCGCTGCTCTACTGCCTGTAGCGCGCCCCGGGCGCGTGCCGTTTTCTTCCTGCCGTGCGCTCGGAGCGCGCAACGTTTTTTCTTCCCGCCGCGCGCTCGGGGCGCGCGGCGGTTTTCAGCCCTGCCCGCCGCGCGCCCCGGGAGGGCGCGGCGGTTTCCTGCCCCGGTGACCCGCGCGTCGCCCTCCGTCGCCCGACACGGCCCGCGCGACCTGCGCCAGGCCCGCGCGCGGCCCGTACGGGCTGCGCCAGGCCCGCGCGCGACCCGTACGGGCTGCGCCAGGCCCGCGCGCGGCCCGTACAGCCCGCGCGCGGCCCGTACGGCCTGCGCCAGGCCCGCGCGCGGCCCGGGCAGCCCGCGCGCGGTTCGTCCCGCCTGCGCCAGGCCCGTGCGCGGCCCGTAGAGTCTGCCCCAGTGCCGCACGCCGTCTCCCAAGCTTCTGGCCGCGCCCCACCCTCGCTGCTGCCCGCGCTCCTGTGTTAGGGTTTGGGGGTGGAGAGTATGGGGGTGCCGGGTGTGTGAGCCGTCCCCTGCTCCTCCTCCTCCTCCGTCTCCCACTGCTGCAGCTGCCGCTGAGGGGGGTGGATGTGTTGGAGCCGTCGGAGTGGTACGAGGGGGGTGGGGTGAGAGTAGTGCTAGAGGTTCAGCAGGGAGTGTGTGAAAGGGGTGTGGGACAGTTGGGGGAGGTTGACCGGAGGTAGCCGACTCGTCGTCCGCAGCGCCTGAAGTCCAGAGAGCCACAACCCCCTGTGGCCGTGTAGTCCGGGGCTCTGCGCTTGGTAGCCACAGTGTGAGCATTCCTGGTAGTCCAAAGAGCCACGACCCCCTGTGGTCGTGTAGTCCGGGGCTCTGCGCCCGTTAGCCACAGTGTGAGAACTCGTGGGAGCACAGAGAGCCAGCTGCACCTGTCGCCTTGTAGTCCGGGGCTCTGCGCCTGGTAGCGTCAGTGCTGCGCACTCTTGTTGCCCGTGTGTCTGCAGCTTCAGCCATCGCCTCCCATCTTCTTGCCCCCCACAGTTTCTCCTCCTCCTCACTTGCCCTCTGTGATAGCCTCTAGCTTTGCTTATCATTGTGAACTATTGCTATGCCTGCTTGTTATGCTGATTATACCCCACTTTGACTATGGGGGTGTGTCAGAATGTGATGTTTGTCTAGCCTGCAGTGGGGTACTCTATAGCGAGTACAACCCAATTATGGTTTCCTATATGTATCTCAACTGCTGCTAGTGAAAAACCCCTCTTTTTTGTTTCTGATTCTTGCCTAGTATTTCGACAGCTGCCCCCCATTTTCTGTGGCCGTTTGCGGTCCGCTACGCCGCGCATCAGCTCAACCTCTGGCCCCGTGTCTCCTTGCCGGAGACCTCGCCCACACTGCGGTGGACAGGGTGTCAGAACTTATAGCTTACTTGTTTCTGTAGGCTATAGTGGGGTATCCCATAGGGGGTACACCCAATTAGGGTTTCCTATTTGTACTCACTTCGTTCATAGTCATTTCATTCTCGTTCTTTGTTTCCACATGGAATCAGAGCAGGTTCCCTCCTAGGGACTGCTTCTAGGGCCCACCGAACCGCGCCCCGAGGCGCGTTTTTTTTTAGCGACCCGTCGTGTCGCCCCTAGCGGACCGTTGCGCCGCCCTTCCCCTCGCGGCTCCGCCGCCCTTCCCTAGCGGCCCCGCCGCCCTTCGATCGCGGCCCCGCCGCCCTCTGCTACGCGGCCCCGCCGCCGCCCTTCGATCGCGGCCCCGCCGCCCTCGGCTACGCGGCCCCGCCGCCCTCTGCCTCGCGGCCCCGCCGCCCTCTGCTACGCGGCCCCGCCGCCCTCTGCTACGCGGCCCCGCCGCCCTTCGATCGCGGCCCCGCCGCCCTTTACCACGCGGCCCCGCCGCCCTCTGCTACGCGGCCCTGCCGCCCTTCGATCGCGGCCCCGCCGCCCTCTGCTACGCGGCCCCGCCGCCCTCTGCTACGCGGCCCCGCCGCCCCCTGCAACGCGGCCCCGCCGCTCTCTTCGGTAGCGGCCCCGCCGCCCTCTGCTACGCGGCCCCTGCCGCCCTCTACTACGCGGCCCCGCCGCCCTCTGCTACGCGGCCCCGCCGCTCTCCTCGGTCGCGGCCCCGCCGCCACTCTGCTTCGCCTGAGCCGCCGCCGAGCCGCCGCCGAGCCGCCGCCGAGCCGCCGCCGAGCCGCCGCCGAGCTGCCGCCGAGCCGCCGCCGCCGAGCCGCAGCCCGAGCCACCGTCGAGCCGCCCGTGCCGCCCGAGCCGCCGCCGAGCCGCCCGTGACGCCCGAGCCGCCCGCGCCGCCCAGCAGCAGCCGAGCCGCCGCCGAGCCGCCGCCGCCTGAGCCGCCGCCGAGCCGCCGCCGAGTCGCCGCCGAGCCGCCACCGAGCCGCCGCCCGAGCCGCCGCCGAGCCGCCCGTGCCGCCCGAGCCGCCCGCGCCGCCCGAGCCGCCTGCGGAGCCGTGCTGCTGTTCCTCTGCTGCTGACCTACCCGCCTCTCCCAGCCCGGTGAGATTTTCAGCTGCTGTCATGGCCACCCCCAATGTTCTTACCTTTGACGCTGAGGGGAGGGCCATTGACTTTGCCGTCTGGATTGAAGACCTGCAGCTGTACTTACTGTGTGATGCGATAGATGAGGTCTCTCTCTTTGACTTTGTCTCTGGCGCTGTCCCTGCCCCACCTGCTGATGCTGACTCTGCCGTTCGCTCCAAGTGGGCGACCCGCGATGCTGCTGCACGTCTTGCTGTGCGTCGCCACCTCCCTTCCTCTGAGCGTGCCCACTTTAGTCAGTGCAAGACCGCTCAGGCCTTGTACGACGCTGTAGTTGCACGCTACTCCTCCCCTTCCTCCGCTACCCTTAGCCGCCTCATGCTACCGTTTCTCTTCCCTGACCTCGCTTCCTTTCCCACTGTCGCTGACCTCGTTACCCACCTCCGTGCTAGTGACACCCGCTACCGCGCTGCCCTTCCTGCTGAGTTCCGCGCTGCGAACCCTCCTCCCATGTACATCACTCTCTACTTTCTCGTCACCCGTCTCCCTGAGTCCCTTCGTGTCGTTAGGGACCAGTTTCTCTCTGTCTGTCCCACCACTCTCACTGTCGACCTCCTTGAGGAGTCCCTGCTAGCGGCTGAGAAGAGCATTGTCGCTGTAGGGGCCTCTCGGGGTGACCCTCGCACCCCCATCTTTGAGGGGTGTGGTCCTTCCCCCCTGCTGCCCTCTGTCGCCTCTGCCGCTGCGGCCGACCTCACTGGTTTTGAGTCGGTCGGCGCGGCGTCTGCCCCCAGCGGCAGACGCCGCGCTGGCAAGGGCAAGGGGGGCAAGGGAGCGGGTGGAGCTAGAGGGGGCGGTGGAGGAGGCGGTGGGGGTGGCGGGGGGAGTGGGGGTGGCGGTGGGGGTGGTGGCGGGAGTGGAGGTACTGGTGGCGGCGGTGGAGGCGGAGGTGGCGGCGGAGGTGGTAGCGGAGGAGGCGGTGGGAGCGGTGGGAGCGACGGTCCTGGTGGGGGAGGTGGAGGTGGAGACG